ACTTTTGTTAACTTTAACAACAAATTAACTAAACAGTTGTTAAATTTTAATGTTTTCGTTAGCTAACAAAATGCCAATATTTGAGTTGTTCAGAGCTGTGTTAAATTTAAGAAATAATATATCCCAAACAGTGATTTTATCGCTCAATAACATCACTGTTTGGAGTTCGGATGCGTGGAATTATATCACGAGGGCGTAGCCCGAGTGATATAATGATGCGCATCGGAACGACATGACCGAAGCCATCTGATTATGTGGTTCCCAAACTTAAAAGCGCTGCGCATTTTGCACACGGCAAAGCTGGGGCCACTTTATCGGATGGCTTCGGTCATAGCCGACTGGCACGTTTGAATTTATCGAAAGATAATGTCATTGAAGGAAAACGGCGATAATCTTGATATCTATTTCGGCTGTTGCGTTGTTTATATTACCGTTGAAGTTAAATATTGACCATTATCGTGAAGAATTATATCTTCTGTGTCGATGGACCAAAGGATTATGTGAAAATATTGGAAATGGAATAAAATACATGGTGATTATGACGGTGGGGGTGCGGATTCTTTCCGGCGAACATTTTTATCTTGTGTATTATTATAGATGTTGAAATATGATTTTTTTTCAAAACGGCTTATATTAAGTTTTTTGATATATATGATCAGTACATGTGCTGGGATTGACAAATATGCATTTTATTTGGATTTTAAAGGCGTTTTGAGCTCCAAACCCCAAGTGTCTGTGTCAAAGACTAGGCTTAAAATTTTATCATCGATTTTACTAAATAATGGCCCTGTTAAAAGTTTGTGAACTTTTTTTTGTCTTAAGGATTATACATGAAGTTAATTAAGGTCCACAATCATTGCATGGATTTTGACTTATTTATGAACATTTTCAACTTACAACAATGTATGGTTAAAATTGTGCATGCATCATCAATATTCAAAATTGCTGAGTGTATTAAATGAAACAAAACTTCATTCATGTCTTGAAATTAAAATTCCTTACAAAGACCAATAACTTTGACATGGATTTTAACTGAAAAATGCCCAATTTAACAGAATTAAATAAAAGCTTGTTCACAAAATTACAAAAGCTCATGAGTGATGGTATATCTTGTCTTAAATCAAAAGACACCTTCAACTTAATATTTTCTTATCTTATAAATGAAGTTATTAATTGACATTGTATTAACAACCAATTTGTATATTTGAGTCTGACTGGTTTGTGCATGCAAATATCAATAGGCTATCTTATTTCCTCATTTCAATAGATATATGTCTTAAAATGTCTGAAGAAGAAAATGTTAAGTGTTTTTGTATATTTATCAAACAAGTATGATATGAAGTATATTTAACAAATAGTATAAATTGCAGTATACTATACTATAATGCACAGCTAGGATAAAGTGAAAGCAAGAATAACATAGCATTAGGTTCAAAATATACACATTTACTCTCAAAATTTTATAAAAAAAAGAAAATTAGAAGAAGTTTCCTACATAAATGCCAAACCCTATTTTATTTGAGTTGGAAAGGGGAGACATATTTTTATTCATTTTGGCCTTATTGAAAATAATGAAATGGTGAATCATGGAGCTTTATATTACTTCATATTTGAATCCATGGTTTACATAACATTTATATAGATGACTTAATCAACTCTCACATTTGGTAAAAAATGAAAATAATGTTTAAAGTTGATGAGACAGACTATTGTAAAAATAATAGGAAGTTAAACACTTTTCAACATTACTGATATGATCAGTTGTTGTTCTATAGAATTTAGAAAGGGCAACTGCATGGTATTCAGTACTCAAGAGTTGTCCTTTTATGTATAAAATATTAATGTATGAATCCCAATATGAATTTAGGAAACTATATCATATACCATCTAAATGATATGATAATATTCTGTCATAATAATATACCCAAAACAACAGTATAAGATAACAGTATTGTAAACATACTACAATACTCTTTTTAAAGTAACTTAAAATGTGAGCATTGTCTGAGTGTAAATCCAGTTAGTTATAAGTATTGAACCATTGCATTACAAACATATTTTCTGGTTTCCAGATGATCATGGCAGTTTATAACTATATATATATATAGTAACTACAAATTATCACACTGTAATACCACATTTGACAATTTATTATTTGGCACGAAACTGACATCAGACAAAAAACATACAAATAAACATATGAGACAATGGTCCTGTGAACGTTGCCTTTGCCTTGTTGATCTTTATTCTTGTTATTGAATGATTTTAATAAGATATTTAAAGTGAAGATTTAAATTGACAAAACAAACAAAAAACTGGCAATAGTTAACCAACCAAGTAGAGGGGTTTTTGAACAAAGCAGTATTGAACCAGTGGTGTCAGATTTTGGTAATCAATCCTATATATGGTTTTACACTAGCAGTACAATATTTTGTCAGCTTGTTACTCTAATGATCCAAAATAAGGTAGAATGAGGTAACTACATTTGTTAAGTGAAGTTCAAGAAAGTCAATTAAATCACAGGCAGGAATAAATTTATGTTTGTTTATGCTGAATTTAAAAGATGATCTTAATACTGATTATATTACTTTAAAACTTGTTTATCGGTATGACACTTGAACAGATTCAGACTTTTTATGAAAATTAATTTCTTTTTATACCACATTGAGGCTATTGATAGTAAATGGGACTTTCTTAATTTCCTGTGTAAATTATTTAGAATCTTTTTATAATTGAGAATGATGTCCCAATGGCATTAAAATGTTAAAATTGACTGTTTTGGAGTTGACAGGGGTAAAGCAAAAGGACAAGCAATTTTCTGTGCCACTAACGATAAAATTAATTCACCTATGGTGGTGAATTAATTTTGTTGTTAAATCTTTGTTAAAGCCGATGTTTTAACAAAAAGATAACGCTATTTTTTCTGAACAACTGATTTTTTTAACAAAGATATTTAACAAAAAAATTAACAACACTTTGTTAATTTAACAGAACTTTAACGTTAACAATGTTTGAACAACAGAATTGCTTAATAACAAAATTTAACACAGAATTTAACAATTTGTTGTTAATTTAACTATGATTTCATTGTTAAATATTTAACAAAAGTTTTGAACAACTGGGCCAATGCTATTGTCTGTGATATGGAAACGATGTTACCTAGCCATTTATTGAAAAGCTTTCCACCATATTCAATGCATACAACGCGTATGTACTCGTAAATGTTGAAATTCTTAAAGTGATACGAACATTTTACACAACATTTGCGCATTACATCACTTGGCCAACCATAATCAGTGGCTTAGTAAACGTGGTGACTGGGATAAACTGTAACCCGCAGTTGTTGCAATAGATGGTATATTAATTATGGTTATATTGTCTCCATCTTTAATGTGTTGATAGTTTATAGAAATACTATAACAAGCATATAGATGTATAAAACCGCTGTATAACAGTTTTAGCGTAATTGATCATTTTATCGTATTTTCGTAATTCCGTAATACGAAGTCCGTTTACGAAGTCCGTTTAAGATAGAAAGGACTATTATTAAGCAGTTTTTTCGTAGGCATGAAAACAGCAATTCTGCACGTTCACTTTTGTTTAAAGCGATGCAGTCTGGAGTTTCGAGGTCTACGGCTTCCATTCTTCCTCAAATGACAACATCAAAAAAGTGCAAGTAGATGGGTAGATATGACATAATAATCAAATTATCGAAATTCCGATTTATTAATTTTATTTATCTTAAATGTGATCCGAAATTGTTGATGACCGGAACTCTCGTGTATACAGTGGTTAAAATCCCTAAGGTCGTCTGCTGAACAACAGTTTTAAACCACATCTCCCCAGGAAGTGGGCAGAACGACAGACAGCGATATTTGAATGGTTTGTAATACATAACTCTGAAACTTTACAAGGACTCGAAATACTCGGCATTTTGATTTCCATATCGTTGTGACTCAAGTAGAGATCCAGTAAGGCCCGAACCCGCGATCTATGTTTTAAAAAGACAGGCACCTCACCACTGTACTTAACCTACCCTTCTTGTACTAAATGAGTCTCGAATATGTCTTTTACAAATTGCTTAAGATAATACAATGGTTATATAACTGTTATACTATTATTTGCACAAAGTCTGAAATGATTGGATAGATGAATGTATTTGAATTAGTTTGCGAGAGAAATGATTTGCATTTTGGATATAATTATGTTGGAAAGTAACAGCGTAAAATTTTGTTTGGAAGGATTTGAATTGCCATAAATGACGTTAGGTAGACGTTTGACTCTGATTTCAAAACCACAAATCGGTCGATCAAACGTTGGTTGGTTCAGAATTTAACTAATGTAAATCTGACGTGAAATGTTTACTGAAACAAATTAAATGACATATCTGTTACTGACCCTTTATATATATTTGATTGGACACTGCATGACAGTTAAGAACAGAAATAACATACTGTATGTGTAAATATATTCTCGGGCTTCAAATTTTCGGGATCTTCGTCCGCGAAATAATGTAAAGCGCGAATATGTCTAACCAAAAATTCCTTAATAGTCATATTTTTACGATTCTAAAGAACGAGGAATGTCAGTGTGTTCACGGTTGGGATAAGATTGGCATCCTTTATAACTAATAAATTTTTTTAAGTTGTTAACAAGGATATTTTTCAGCGGATAACTTACATTAGATATTCAATTTAGGGCCATCATAGTCTATTAATAATTCTGGTGAAAAAAATAGTTGCAGTTGTAAAGAGCAATCAAGAGCAATAAAAAACAATTAAACACTTGAAATAAATACAAGTTATGCATACTGTTCAAACCCATAATGAAGTTATGAAAACTAAAATCGAAACATTGAAAACATAAACAGGTAAACAGGTAGTAGATATGCAAAATTCAGTTTTATTATAACTATGCTGTATTTTGTTTTCCTCCTGCAGAGGCTACGTATTTTATGTACATGTAAACGTATTTGTAATTATCCTTTTTTTATTATATAGATAAAAAGATGTCAACAATAGAAAACGAGAGATACATGCGCTATATACTTCTCCTTGGTGTGGGAGGAACGCTAGTACTTAAGGAAAATCTTAAAATGGAAACGAGCAAAGCCTCCAAACCCATTGAAGAATTACTGAAGGCTAATGAAACTACACTGACAAGGAAGATGGACACGTATACAAATAAGAAATTATTTGGTTCTAGCGGAAATCAAGATGTTGATACGTGGGACATATCGCTATTAGCGACTGTGATTCTACATCTCTTTGATAACAGTATCACACAAGATATCAAAGAGTGTATCAAATCTCTTAAAGAAATGAGGAACACAATTGCCCATGCAGCATCTATGTCCTTAAATGCAGACGAATATGACAAGAAAAGGAAAGCTATTGCTGCTATCATTATCAAATTGTCCACTGGATTAAGCCAGATGGTTCATGACGAATGCCAGGACCTTATAAAGAAATTTGCAGCAGGTCCCATAGATATAGTTTCAGCTACAAAAACAGTCGAAGAATTAAGAAAATGCGACAAAGATGTCTGTACTATTCTCGAATCTCTTTTGCGGGAAATGACAGTGGTTATGAATAAAGTGAACGGCATATCAACTGAATTGGAAGGCCTTTCAGGTAATATGGCAGCCATGTCAACTGAAATGAATGGTATTTTATCTGAAGTGCGAGCTTGTTCAACTAAGATGGAAGATGTTGCAACTAGAGTGGAATGTAATTCAGCTAGATGGGAAAATTCTTCACGTGAAGTAGAAGTGCATTCAGCTCAATTAGAAGTTATAGGGAATGAAATGGCAGGTAATTCTTAAAGTATTGTGTATGTCATTATAGGATTAAAGACATATGAATATTCGAAAAGGTTTCGTAAGACTACATTTTGAAACGAAATAAATTTATGGTCAAATGCACTTGAAACATTTCAAGAAGTATACATATCACATTTGCAATCGATACTTATGAATAAAATTAATAAGTATGTTTAAAAAAAATATAAATATTCAACAACATGTTCTTTGCTCTGTATTTTAGAAATAAAACTGCTACTGCAGAAGATTATCGCTCAAGACAAATGCGATACGGAATCATCTCGAGGTACTTAATATGTTGATATTTCTTTGAATTAAAATCAAAATATGGGGCGTCCGTGGCCGAGTGGTTAAGGTCGTTGACTTCAAACCACTTGCCCCTCACCTCTGTGGGTTCGAATCCCGACAGGGACTTTGGATTCTTTCATGTGAGGAAGCTATCCAGCTAGCTTACGGAACGTCGGTGGGACGTAAAACCCGCATAACAAACAAATCAAAATATATATACTTTTTCAAAACAAAATAATTGTATGTAAAATGTAACTCAGTGCAAAGATTATAATATTATGTAAATGGCCATATAAATGGAGCATCAATCTTTTTATTTAAAAACACTTTGTTTGAAATTTCTATTAATGTTTTTCCTATTTCAGAATTAAGAACAAAAATGACTTTGAAAGGACCAAATGATCACTTAACAAAGGCGACTGAAGAATCTGTTACTTGGTATCTCAATTCTATTTCAACGAAAGCTAAAGAGGGAGACGAGTCCTTACAAAAAGTCCACACTATTTTGAGGTCGATCTGGTCCGATATAGAAAATTGTACTGGGGCTAAAGTTACGGAAGTTGAATATAAATGCATACTTATTAAAATAAGATGCAATAATTGTAAAGGACTACTACAACTTCTCGAATACCTAGAGAGTAGCTTGTTCAAACAACGCCTGCATGAATTATCCAAAGCCTTAGAGGAGACGTACAAGGAGCGTTTCGATGTTTCATTTATAATAGACCCTGATGACTTGAAAAACATTTTATGTGACCTCAGTAAGTATTTTGTTTATGCGTATCAAGCTTGCGTTCTGTATGTACATGTTCAAGCGCGTGTGCGTTTTTTCTGACATGTTTAATTGATATATTGTTGAATTGGAAGCTAACATGGCATAACTACTGAATAAATGCATATTAAATGCATTTTTAATCATTAATTCAGTTTGAAATTTGCGCATTTAGCATTGTCAATTTTTTATGTTGGATCTCATTATTTCAAAATACAATATAAACAAAAGTGAAGTCGAAAGATTGCTTTTTTTCTAGAATAAATAGATAACCTACTTGATTTATTATTGTGTGTTTTGTAGAGGACTATGATAAAGAAAATGGTAACATCGGGCACGATGAAATCAATGCTGATAGGTAAGTTTTCTATAAAGTCTTTTTCTTGTATCTAAATTATAAAAGAAAGTAAGCACTGGGTTATTATATGTTAATTTGTAACTATTATTATGAACTAATTCCACAACAACTGCCCTTGCTTAACATGATTTGTGCATTACATTATACCGTTTTCTACGGTTACAACAAATAGCTAGCCAACAAATCGTACAGGAAATTACAACAAATGTAGCAAAAGCATAATGAAAACAAATAATTCAATTGGATGTTATTGATGTTATTGAACAGCACAATGTGTTTGTCCGACAGTGCGGACGAAAAAGTAATGCTTACGAATAATGTTACGGTTATTTAAGAAGTATCGACAAACAATAAATTATGACATTATAGCTGGCCAGAGGTTAAAGTAGTAAACGAAGCTGTTCCTAAAAGCTACAAGTAATACAAAAACAACCCGTTCTAAAACAAACATACACGACAATGACTTCAGATTATACGAGTTAGGGCATGTAAGAGCATGTTCAAGTGGTAATTTTCTAAATTTATTTTTCACGTACCTCTTCGAAATGTTTCAAGATATACCGATGCTTCCACAAAAGTCATTGAATTCGAGACACCGCAAGGTAACCTTTTTTTCGTTGTCATGAATATCAAATGACTGTTATAATAGCCAGTTAGATAAGAATAAATGTAATCATGAAGATGGTAAATTTAGATTATTACAAATAATACAGTAATACATGATTGTCTTATATTCCTTCGCGTCTGAAATGACTTTAGTTATTGAAGAAATGTAAACAAACACATGTCTAGCCTTTAAAAATTAAAAAAGCAAACATTTTGTTTGTTTACAAACGTTTTCTTGCCATGTAAACAATTTAAAAGAAATCTATGAAAATTACTATGAACTACCTAAATCCTTCGATATCTTTTAAGTTGTTTATGGTTCACAAGTATTCCGTCTATTTTTATTTAAAAATATTGTAACAGATTATTTAGAAAAAAGGAAAAAGGAAATCGTAAATATGTATTCATGTACTAATAATTTAACTTTCAGAGAAGCCATTAGACATGGTAGATATAGAAGCAAAGTTGCGGAAATATCGTCATGAATTTGAGAAGTGTTTAAAAGATCCATCTATAGTTTCTCATCTTTTAGCAAAATCTGTCATAACCGACGGTAGGCTTATTATAATTTTTGTTCTTAATTTTTTTTTATTTGGTATTTTTCGTATAAATTTATAGCTTTTTTTCAAAAGCATGCGCATGTTTTATATATAACATAACATTGCTATAAACGAAAAATAAAAAAAAACTTTATATTAACCACTTCTTTTTAATCTAGAAAATCAATGGCAACAAGAAAAAGAGAGAGAAAAAATAAAAATAGAAATAGTCATCTTTATTTATATACATGTTTATGTTTTCTTCTGTAACACTCAAATACCAAAATAAATTTCATTTGAAATGATTTCATAAGGCCCATTTTCAATAACATTTGGTGTTCCACTGGATAGTGCTTATACAAAGGAGTTTATTGAGTTCAAAAACGTTTTTAAATGATTGCTGCCACTTTGTCTACTTAGAACACCTTCAGTTTTTCCTATTTTTATTGTTTCTTTTACCAGTTCCAATGATATAAAATTCTTTACTGGCCTCATCTAGTTTTTTTTAACTTTGTGGGTGTGTTGTAGAAACAGGTGTTCCGTATATTTTGATGTGTTTTACAGACATTTGTTCCTTATATGCAACCAACATGTATCACTAGTAAATATGACATTTTTTTTTTTTTTTTTTTTTTTTTTTTTATTTCCCTCGTCATGGGTATGTGGGGGTCGAGGGCATCCCCCTCCATACCTTACAAAGATTTTATTTATCATATTATATATACACATGTATCAAATATTTGTTGATTTAGTAACAATTATTGATTATTGTCATTGAGTATTAATCACAACTTCACATTTCCACAATAATATATACAAATGTACATACACAAAATAATATACAAACAAAATCACAAGGGAAATAAAAGAAGAGAAAAAAAGGAAAGGTAGCTCATAGATTGAACAGAGAAAACATTATGTTGTTGTTTCTTATACTCAAACTTTTAACAAAAAGCAATGGCTGTATATTAATACATTATAAATTTACATTACTCTAAAAAGAATTAAATGATTTTTTGAACAATTGTCCAATTCATTATGTTATCTTTTGTATTTGTTGCACATGCATTAATAATTGAAGAGGCTAATTTAAAACTTCTAATTAATCCATCTATATTTGGTAAAATATTTTTTCTCCTACATAAATAAACATATTTCTTTATCTCTAGACATAGGATATTGTACTTTGACTGGCTCTTTTTTGTATAACCTAATATAAAAGTTTGACAATCAATATCAAATAAAGCATCATGATTCCTAACAATTTTAATAATTTCTGTAATCAATATTTTGACAAATGAGCATTCCCAAAATAGGTGTAACAATGTTTCATGTTCTGATTTACAAAAAGTACACATACTTGTAACAGATAAATTCATTTTCAAAAGAAGATAATTAGTAGCTAATATTCTATGTGTTAGTCTTGTCTGAAACCATTGCAAGTAAGAATCATTGGTAATGTCAAAAACCCAACTATGTATTTTATTCCAGTCAGATTGACTTAATTGAAAGAAAGTGTTCCATTTAGTCTGACAAGTTGGAATATCATCATTTTTTATGTATATATTGTACATGTCTGATGTACCTTTAACACAAAGTAGTATAGGCTTTAAATAACAACATATAATGGGAGACTAGGAAGCAATTTCATAATTTTCACATAACTTTAAACTTAATACACTTCTGTATTTCTTGACAGCACTTGTAATTAATTAATAGTAAATGAAGTTTACTTTAATGCCTAATCTTGCTTCCAATTCATTCCTCTCAAGGAAAATACCATTCACATTCATAATATCTTTGATAAACCTTATACCTTTATCATACCATGTTTTTATAAAAATAGGTTTTCTATCCATCAAAATATATTGGTTATAGAACAGAGGCATTTCTAACAACATTTCCATAAAAATAATCGGTGTTTTTTCTACAAATTCTACATAAGCACCTAAAACATCTTTCCAAAATGAATTTTGCAAAATATAAAATATATATGCTGTATATAACTTTCCACAATTAAATAGCTTCTTAATATCTAAAAAGTTTTCTAAAATAGTGAAACATTTATCACATTCAGATGATACAATTCTTCTTAACCATGAAAGTTTTAAACTTTTCATGTAAGCACATACATCAATCATTTTTAGACCACCATTTACATATTCTTTCACCAATACAGAAGATTTAATCTTTGGTGTACCTTGCCACACAAAATCATAAAACATATTACTTATTTCCTTTAACATCTGAGAATTTGGATTTGGAAGTGATATAAACAAGTTAGTTAATAACGGAAGGAAGTAACAGTGACTTTACAACAGTTATTCTACCAATAGGTGTTAAAGCCCTTCTTTTCCAACACTGGATATATTTTTTGATATTTTCAATTTTTTCAGTATAATTCAAAGTTATCATTTTTTCTAAATCAACGTGAAAGTTGATACCAAGTAATCTAAATGATGTACTACCCCAAATTAATTTCCACCTAGTTTTTATTGATCTAGTGCTATATTTTAAAGAACCAATCCATATAACATGTGTTTTTTCAAAGTTAACTCTTAATCCAGAAATAATAGAAAATTCATGTAAAATATCAAGCGTACAATTTAAAGACTGATCAGATCCATCTAACAATAAAGAGGTATCATCAGCATACTGTGAAATCTTATACTCTGTTCCGTTGATATGTATACCTTTTATATTTTTATTAGTTCTTATTTTGATGGCTAATATTTCGGCACATAAGATAAAAATATAAGGACTGATTGGGTCTCCTTGACGGCAACCACGCCCTATTTTAAAAAAGTTAGACAAAAATCCATTCATTTGAACAGCAGTTTCAGTATTTGTATAAAAAAGAGATATCCATTTTCTAAACATTGGGCCAAAATTAAAGAATTCAAAAGTCTTATTTATAAAATCAAAAGAAAGTGTATCAAATGCTTTTTCAAAGTCAATCATTACTAATAGTCCTGGCATTCTTTTTTCTTCTAAATAATTCATTATATCGTAGACTAATCGTATATTCTCTCCGATAAATCTTCCTTTTAGAAATCCTGTTTGGTCTGTATCTATCAAACAATTTAAAACTGACTTAAGTCTTTTGGCTAATGATCCTGAGGCTAGTTTTAAAGTATAATTCAATAAAGTTATTGGTCGCCAGTTTTTTAAATATTGTTTTGGTTTGTTTTCTTTCGGGATACAGGTAATTATACCTTGCCTTTGGGTAAGTGATAATTCACCTTTAATAAAAGAATAATTAATACTTCTGACAACAAAATGTCCAATTTGTTTCCAGAAAACTTTAAAAAAAATTTGATGTAAAACCATCAGACCCTGGGCTTTTGTCATTTTTCATATTCTTAAGTGTTTCTGAAATTTCCTCAAAGGTAAAGAGACCTTCTAGCGAATCTGCTTGATTTCTGCTCAATTTTGGGACAGTTATGTTGCCTAAGAACTCTTCCATATTAAAATCATCAGGAGAATCAGTTTTTGTATACAATGTTTCATAAAATATTTCACTTTCTTTTAAAATTTCTGACTGCTCATATATAATGGTACCATTAGTTTTTTCCAAAAAAGGAATGATTTTTGAAGTATAGTTATATTTTTCAAGATTACAAAAATATTTAGTTGGTGTTTCACCATTATCAATCCATTCTGCTCTAGAGCGTATGAAATTACCTTTAATTTTGTCTTGTCTTATTGTTTCCAATTCTTTTTGCAAGTTTAATAATCTAACATTTCCAGGATCATTTGAATTTTTTTCTAAATATGTAATCTGTGATATTAAATCATCCTCTCTAGATTTGGTTTTCTTCTTCTTAAAACTTGCATAAGAAATAGTTTTTCCTCTTATTTCCATCAACAGAGTTTCTAAAAATAACTGGTCATCAATAACAAATGATAGTTCACTATTGCTAATATTTTCAATATTTTCTACATTATATACAGGTAAACAGTATTGTTTTTTTATTTTTTCAATTTTTTCATTAATAATATGACATTTTTGTTACCGAAGACAAATATGTACAGAGCCATTGCAGAATTAAGTGTCATCTTCTTATTTTTTTGTATTTCTCGTTTAAAATATTTCGGGCTAACTTGTATCATATTATGCACCTTTACGTACACGATAAAGAATGACACAATGAGGGATGTTGCAATTATTCTTTATCCCTCACGTACAGACTCAATAAAACAGAGAGTCTGCAATTTTCATACAATTTTGTTGTGATAAATGCTTCCGAGGGATCACTTGTTTCCAGATTTATAATTATATACTAGTAAATACATAAAGGTTCAAATAAATTTTGGTCTTACCTTTTCATCAAATTTGTTAATATAAAATCAAAACGAAATTCTTTCAGATATGCATATTTCTGTCATTTATTTCTGATTTAAGTGGATGCTGCAAGAATAAAGAATCTATACATAGACAGAGAGACAGTAAAGGCATCCCAAGAGTTGTTAGATGCAGTGTTTACGTCCGAAGCTCCTGGTAAATGGAGATCATTTGTTGATTCCCTTGAAAGTGCAGGTAAAGTTTAAGTTTATTATTGAAATTAAATAAAACTTTAAAAAGCATAGACAAACAATACACCAATAAATAAACAGAAATTAAAAGAAGCATCTTGTTATTCCTAATTTGAAACTTTTAAAGAATAATTCATCAACCAGTTTAGAAATAATTTGTCAAAAATTCAAAACATTATTTGCATTTACAGAATATCCTTACCTGAAGAAATTACTTTCATACCAAAATATATATGACGCATTTACATCATCACGTGCTCAGAAAATCTTGAGTTTTTTTACACCATATCTTGAACAAATCATATGTGCACACGAGTTTGTATCAGAGTTGAGGTCAAGAGGAGTCATAAATGCGGCTGATAGGAATCTTATCCTAAAAACATATGAAACTAAGGGCGGAATATACACAGCGATGATTCTCCTAGATAGTATGCAGTGTAGGCAATCACCCCAGGATTGGTATTATCAGTTCCTTGACTTACTGATGAAGAAGAAATGCGAACATATAGTGAAAGAAATGGAACCTGACTTTATAGATAATCCTTCAGCATTTATGCCAACGCAAGGTAACAATCATTCATATTGTGCGTCTCGTAATTCGTAAAACAAGTTCGGTTTTTTATCTTGGTATCATTATAAATACTAGAAAATGATAAAATGCAAAAAATACTTGAAAATGCCGTTATTGTTTCTTCCAGTTTTGAACATGTTTTTTTCTAACGTTGAAATATTATCGATGCGTCGCAAAAATATCGATAATTATGATAAAAATTGTTGATTGAAAAATGTTGGAATGCGCTATTGTTAGCATTGTGTGTCCATTAAAATGTTTGTTTTTCTGCCTGTAATCAAATGAACGAAACTGCGTACCAATGTTAATGATATTAAGCTAAAACACAATTTTATATAAAACTTATGACAACAATCATCATACTTTATAAAATTTAAAAGTAACATTACATTTGTGTTGTTTCTATTATTCTATTATGTTTAAAATGTCAAATAGAAAAATAATCATATTTAAATGAAATTTCACAGACATATGTGTCAAATGTTTTACAGGTACAATCATATCAAATAAGAAAGAAGACATTATTATATATCAAAGAAAAAAAATTGAAGAAGAACAAGACGCATTCGGGTCATTACATGAACATTTTGTTGAAGGTAAGTGTAATTTAAATTTTTATTAAACATATTGCAAAATGTAAATAATATGTTTATCATAAATATTTGATTGGACAAAATATTAGACTCAACATATACATAGAATAGATAGAATGGAGCAATAATTTTCATAATACATATTAAAATAACATCGTTGATAAATGAAATAATGTTTTACAATTCTAAACATATACATTAAAGCTGTCATTTTGGTAAAAATGAAATAAAATTTATTTGTCATCTTTACTGAATATAAAGAAAATATTCTACTAAATAATCACGTTAAACATAATTATATTCATTAACATAGTTTATGTTTCTGCGTATAAGAATACACACTGATCTATGAATATAAAAAGTGATTTGTGTAATTAAGGAGATATTAAACGCAACGTACCTCTTCGAAATGTTTCAAGATATACCGATGCTTCCACAAAAGTCATTGAATTCGAGACACCGCAAGGTAACCTTTTTCTTCGTTGTCATGAATATCAAATGACTGTTATAATAGCGAGTTATATAAGAATAAATGTAATCATGCAGATGGAAAATTTAAATTATTACAAATAATACAGTAATACATGATTGTCTTATATTTCTTCGCGTCTGAAATGACTTTAGTTATTGAAGAAATGTAAACAAACACATGTTTAGCCTTTAAAAATTAAAAAAGCAAACATCTTGTTTGTTTACAAACGTTTTTTTTTTGCCATGTTAACAATTTAAAAAAATGTCTATAAAAATTAACTTAATCAATGTTCCATAAATTATGAATTTTGATATCCCTTGTTTTAGGTTTTTAATATGAGAGAAATTTCATTATCAATATCATAATTATCATCATCATTATTATTATTATTATTATTATAATCATTATTATTATTATTATTATTATTATTATTATTATTATTATTATTATGAACTACCTATAACCTTCGTTATCTTTTGAAGTTGTTAATGGTTCACAAGTATTCCGTCTATTTTTATTTAATTATATTTTAACAGATTATTTAGAAAAAAGGAAAAAGGAAATTGTAAATATGTATTCATGTACTAATAATTTAACTTTCAGAGAAGCCATTAGACATGGTAGATATAGAAGCAAAGTTGCGGAAATATCGTCATGAATTTGAGAAGTGTTTAAAAGATCCATCTATAGTTTCTCATCTTTTAGCAAAATCTGTCATAACCGACGGTAGGCTTATTATATTTTTTGTTCTTAATTTTTTTATATGGTATTTTTCGTATGAATTTAATAGCTTTTTTCAAAAGCATGCGCATGTTTATATATGACAAAACATTGCTATAAACGAAAAGTAAAAAACTTTATATTAACCACTTCTTTTTAATCTAGACAATCAATGGCAACAAGAAAAAGAGAGAAAAAAAAATAAATATAGAAATAGTCATCTTTATTTATATACATGTTTATGTTTTCTTCTGTAACACTCATCGCTTATTTAAGGGATTAAGCAGTAATTTGTCAATCAATTACCAAAATTAAATTTCATTTGAAATGATTGCATAAGGCCCAATTTCAATAACTTACAACATTTGGTGTTCCACTGGATATCTCTTATACAAAGGAGTTTATTGAGGTCAAACCGTTTTTTAAATTATTGTTTCCACTCTGTCTAATTAGAACACTTTAGGTTTTCCTATTTTTATTGTATCTTTCTTTTACCAGTTCCAATGATATAACATTCGTTACTGTCCTCTCTTTGTGGGTGTGTTATAGAAACAGGTGTTCCGGATATTTTGATGTGTTTTACAGGCATTTGTTCCTTATATGCAACCAATATGTATCACTAGTAAATATGACATTTTTGTTACCGACGACAAATATGTACTGGGTCATTGCAGTGTCATCTTCTTATTTTTTGATTTCTCGTTGAAAATATTTCTGGCTAACTTGTATCATATTATGCACTTTTACGTACACGATAAAGAATGACACAATGAGTGATGTTGCAATTATTCTTTATCCCTCACGTACAGACTCAATCAAACCCAGTCCGCAATTTAATGTTGTTGTGATAAATGCTTCCGAGGGATCAATTTCTTTCCAGATTTATAATTATATACTAGGTAATACACAAGTGTTCAAATAAATTTTGGTCTGACCTTTTCATCAAATTTGTTAATATAAAATTAAAAAGAAATTCTTTCAGATATGCATATTTCTGTCATTTATTTCTGATTTAAGTGGATGCTGCAAGAATAAAGAATCTATACATAGACGGAGAGACAGTAAAGGCATCACATGATTTGTTAGACGCAGTGTTTACTTCCGAAGCTCCTGGTAAATGGAGATCATTTGTTGATTCCCTTGAAAGTGCAGGTAAAGTTTAAGTTTATTATTGAAATTAAATAAAACTTTGAAAAACATAGACAAACAATGCACCAATAAATAAACAGAAATTAAAAGAAGCATCTTGTTATTCCTAACTTGAAACTCTTGAAGAATAATTCATCAACCAGTTTAGAAATTATTTGTCAAAAATTCAAAACATTATTTGCATTTACAGAATATCCTTACCTGAAGAAATTACTTTCATACCAAAATATATATGACGCATTTACATCATCACATGCTCAGAAAATCTTGAGTTTGTTTACACCATACCTTGAACAAATCATATGTGCACACGAGTTTGTATCAGAGTTGAGGTCAAGAGGTGTCATAAATGCGGCTGATAAGGAACTTATCCTAAAAACATATGAAACTAAGGGCGGAATATACTCAACGATGATTCTCCTAGATAGAATGCAGTGTAGGAAATCGCCCCAGGATTGGTATTATCAGTTCCTTGACTTACTGATGAAGAAGAAATGCGAACATATAGTGAAAGAAATGGAACCTGACTTTATAGATAATCCTTCAGCATTTATGCCAAAGCAAGGTAATAATAATTCATATTGTGTGTCTCGTAATTTAAAATAAATAATACAAGTTCGACTTTTGATATTGGTATCATTGTAAATACTAGAAAATGATAAAATGCAAATACTAGAAAATGCCATTATTGGGTTTTTACCCGTTTGTCATTGGAAAATGTATTATCTTTCTAACATTAAAATATTCTCGATGCGTCAAAAAGTTCTATAATTATGATAATTATTGTTGATTGCAAATGTTGGAATGCGATATTGTAAGCGTTGAGTGTCCATTAGAATGTTTGTTTCTCTGTCTGTAATCAAATCAAAGAAACTGCGTACAAATGTAAAGAAAAATGATAAGCTAAAACACATTTTTATATAAATTTTATGGCAACAATCATTATACTTTATAAGATAATTTTAAAGATCATTACATTTGTGTTGTTTCTATTATTATCTCATAAGTAACTATTTTGTTAGATAAAGATAAATAATCAGATTCAAATGAGTTTCACAAAGTTTAACATGCGTGTCAAATGTTTTAAAGGTACAATCGTATCAAATAAGAAAGAAGACATAATGGACAGTCAAAGAAAAGAATTTGAAGAAGAACAAGGCGCATGCGGGTCATTACATGAACATTTTGTTGAAGGTAAATGTTATTTTAATATACATTAAACATATTGCAAAATGTAAATAATTTGTTTATTTTAAATCTGTGACTGTACAACATATCTGGGCAAAATATTAGACTTCACATATACAGAATATCAATGGAATAGGAACAATCATTTTAAGTAACATCGTTAATAAATAACAATTTACTCGTACACACATAATTATAAATGAGAGCTGTCATTTTGTTAAACATAGAATAAGAAATAAATGTCATATATACTGAATATTAAGAAAATATTCATATTGAATAATTACGTTAAGTATATTCTATCTGTTGACATAGTTTATATTTCTGTCGAATGAGGTTACAAAGTGATCTATAACTATAAAAAGTGATTTATGCAATCAAGGAGATATTAAACCATTTTAATTGTTTATCCTATTTTTTGCTATCTTCAAGCAAATTCTGAGAGTTATTGAATTTGAATGAAAACGTATGGTATTATTTGATAGGATACTCTTGGCGGCGTTTGTCTTCTTAACGTATTTATAGTACTGTAATATTATAACACATATCTCTTAAAAAGAATTTTACCGGTGTTAAGTTAATATTTTCCAACAATATTGCTACATTTGCAGAGATGGCACACTGTTTTATCATATTATCACATAAATCGCGACGAAGGAGCCATTTAATAAATACGATATTAAACTAGTGTAATAACACTTTGACGTTACGTCATGTGCGCTATGTAACACTGCACTTTGGGGTCCATCGCACTCCGGGGTCCAATCCCAAAGTGCGTTACACTTCGCATAGCATTTTTGGGTCCAACATACTTTGGGGTCAAAATCGAAAAATTGACCCCAAAGTGCGTTAATATGCTGAATACTGACTTATTTCTGACTTAAATACTGAGTACTGACTTATTTCCGATCTGCGACATTGGACTATTTGAGGTGGAGTTCAAGATGGCGTCGAACCCTTGTTTGATGCTTTAGTGATAAAAGTTTCATTAATTTTACCACTTGAAATATCTGAAAATTGTGTTCATATATAACAAAGAACTCTAATACATAGATTGTGAATGTATTCCTAAAATTGAAAGATGCTGCAAAAAATATCCAGTTTTGTCGGTCATTTAGTTGATAACGTTTGGTGACATATTAAGCCCCATTTTAAATACGATGGGGATAAAATAAAATGCAATTAATATTTTTCTCCAAAGAACTATAAATATATTGCAATGTTCTAATAAAATATCAAGTTTCTCGATCGGACTAAAACAAATACACTATTAAGCTTATCAACAAACTTTAGTCATTTAGTCATTGATTATTATTCACTTGTAATTACTTATTAATATTAATTATATAATACTTAGATAAAGGTGAAGGTTACGAGAATACAAATGACTTAGGAGCACCTCCATCACTGACCATGAGGCAGGACTCATCCCTGTCATCAACAGAGTATCAAATTGAAAGCTTAGAGACGAATTTAAAGGAGCTCAATATAAAACCTGACATGACAAAACCTCTTTCAGTTGGTAAGCATATGCTGTCTATTTTGTAGTTGTTGGGTATATGTTACTGTAAACGATTGCAATATCACCTTCCACAAAGCGTGCAGTCTGCAAGGGTTTGTGCTACTGTAGACAAAGGCAATATTGCCTTCCACATACGTGAATTTTGCAAGGAGATGTTTATCCCTATTAATTAATTGTTTGATGACAATCGTATTTGGTACGCATCTTAAAAGGAATGCTCAACTATTCAAGTGTTCTTATAAATGTGTATTGCTACTTTTTAGACACATTAAAATATGACAATGTATTATTTAAAAGCAAATGCTACAAAAATAAATTTCACTGATTTCATTTTTTCAAACCGTAGGGATATTACAGCGAGAGGACAGCAAACCTGGAAATACTGGTATACAGACAGCTGGCCTTGGCAACAATGAAGATGATGAAGATGATGAAGATTCAATGGGGTCTGATTATGATAATACAGAAGTTGAGGCTGCGGGTATGTGTCTTTCTATATGTTTTAGAAAATGTAAATGCTAAATTATGTTAAATCTAATACCATCATCATCATCATATTGATTGACTATAATATGTGTAAATAGACCATTGATCATAAATTTTCTGAAAATACCACAACGTAATGTTTGTCTGAAAATACATAAAAATATCAAATAGATAATGGTGCCGAGTTAAAAGTGCATCCCTGACATGAAACATTTGATTACGTAAATGTTCTTTAGTCTAATTTAAGTCGTTTGCAAATGGTGCGCACATCAATTAACAATTCAACTTTTCTAATCATATCAGGTAATTAGTGTTGCGTTTTATATCTACAGCTTTGGCTTCGCATACTGCAGCTCCACTTAAATTGCGCGAATATCAATTAGAACTTGCAGAAAATGCAGTTCTTGGAAGAAATACAATTATTTGTGCAGAAACAGGATCCGGTAAAACTTGGGTTGCCCTACATATCGTACAGCAGCATTTACAAAATGCTTGGAACGGTAAGAAAATGGTTCTTGTCATTGTTTTCTCTTTCTATTGATGAATGATTTATTTTTTGCCTTATCTTGTTGTTTCTTTTCATTTTCTAAGTAATATCAATGTAACTTTAAACATACCTTACGTCTTTTATGCCCCAGAAGGGCAGCATATTAAAATCGCACCGTACGTCTGTCTGTGCGCCGCCATTTATTTCGTGTCAGGACTGTAACGTTGACAATGTGTCGCGTCAAAGAATCACGTCCCTACATCAAAGGTCAAGGCCACACTAACATTTTTAATTTCACATTATCACAATTAGAACTTATAGGTACACACATTCGTGTCCGGACTGTAACTTTGTCATGCTTAAAAGATTCGACTAATACTTGGCATACATGTCTGCTACATCATAAAGTCGTGTCGAGTCCATAAACCATGTCTCTTCTTTCAAGGTCAAGGTCACACTTTTACTTTGAAGGTTCACATTATCACAATTACAATAAATAGGTACACACATTCTTGTCTGTAATGTAACTTTGTCATGCGAAAAAGGATTTAAAAAACAAACTTGGCATAAATGTCTTCTACATCAAGACGACGTGTCGATTCCAAGACCCAAATTTCCCCTTTCCCCAAAAAAACCCAATGTCAAAATTTAATTTGGGGAAAGGGTGTACAATTCCTGTTTGGGCTGTAACTTGTTTGTTCATTTTTTAGGAAAATTTTTAAAAAAACTTGGCACAAAAGGGGCTACCAAAAATCGGAACCCAATTTTTTCGCGGTTTAAAAACCTATATCACTTTCCTAAAATGTCAAGGGCCACTTTGGGGTTGGGTAAAATTTGTGGGCAAAATTAGTTTTTCTGCTGGGGTTTTTTAAAAGGTACAGAAGTCAAAAAATCATGGTGATGTTTTTTCATTTAAGAAACCCATGTCCGTTAAAACAAAGGGCCAAGGTCCACTTAAGGTTTGAAGGTTTTTAAAATTTTCACAAGTTTAAAATTTAAGGGCCCTTTTGTCAGGGAAAAGGGTTTTTAAAAAAACGTAGCATATATGTACCACACGAAGTCGACATGTCGCGTTTCAAGACCCATGTCCCTACCTCTAAGGTCACTTTTACAGTAAGAAGGTACTCATTTTCTCAAGAAAGGTTTCAAGATACACATTTGTGTCCGGACTGTAACTTTGTCATGCATTTAAGAGTTTTAAAATTAATTGGCGCAAATATCTACCATATCAAGACAACGTACGGTGTGTAAGACCCATGTTCCTATCTCCAATGTCAATGTCACCCTAATAGTTTTAAGATATTTATACTCATCAGAAGAGTTTGAAGGTACACACCAGTTTCGAAACTGTGACATTGTCATGCAGAATAACTTGGAATTTATGTCTCCCACAACAAGATGATGTGTGGCATCCAAGACCCATGGCCAAAAGTGGTAGTTTGCTATAAATAGCACTTCATTTCACAAGAACAATATCAAACAATTAGTTACTTTCATTCTCTTTTCTTTTCATAATTCCTTTCTGCAATGGAAACATTTTCAGGGGCATTCGTCACTTTTGAGTGACAGCTCTTGTTTTAAAGTGCAATGTATTTATTGATTCATTTTACACATGATGTTATTAAGGTCAAAGGAAGGTAGTGTTCATGGCCAGGACTGGGGCTCTAATCAAACAACAGTCTGACAGGTTTAAAACTTATCTTCCATAGTTTCAGGTAAGCGATATCGATATCTTTAAGATATCCATTTAATGCGCCTGGATCTTCCGTGCAACTTTTCTGAATACTGACTCTTACATTGGCAGATGTTAAATAATTTTCTAAGCTGCCACATAACTTAACTCAATATTAGTTTATTTTTTCTGGAACGTCGGGACCTTTATTTAAATACGTTTTAGTGTCAAGGTTTGCATATTGCTTAAACTGGTGTCAATTGGCAAACGTTTGATAAAAATAATAGCTTATCTAATTATGTTTATTTTGCAGACTCGTTTAATAACCGGAGAAGATGACCAATCAAGGATGTTAAACATGTTTTTAGAAACTTACGACATACTATGTTTCACACCTCAAATTCTAGTAAATAATCTAGAAGACAACGTCATTAAAAGCCTGTCAGAATTTTCCTTGTTGATACTTGACGAATGCCACCATACGAGAGGAGATGATCCTTACAGTACGCTAATGAGAAAATATCTAGTGGAAAAATCCAAAACAAAAAAAGATATGCCACAGGTTACTTGATAATTTTGTCGGACTGATGTTCATTCAACCTCTTAAACATTTGCAAATTATAATGAACTTTAAAAATAAAAAAGTATAAATAGTTACATTATTTGTTCTTTTTACTTTTTGGATTTTTTGTTGTTTTTAAGCAAATTTCATCACTATGACTAAACATTTTCCTTTTCCTTGCGTAAAAGAATTCTTTGGTTAGTCTTTTTTGTTAACTTTAGGTGTGGGTCTCAGCCCAATTTGGTGTCGGCAAATCTCGAACAGGTGGGAAATCGGGGTTGAATTAACATTCCTGAGGGTATGTTCTTGTCTGGACGTGAGAATAATTTCAACGGTAGAAAAAATTTTAAAAAAATTAAAAAAAAAATGTCAGGCATTCCTGATGAAGGTATGTATGCGTTTATTTTTTTTTTATTTTTAAAACTTCAAGAAAATAATCTTACCGAGATTATTATACATGAATTTTATTTTAAGAAAAAAATAAATGTACATCTGCATGATGAACCCACAAAGAACAACATGTTTAGGCAGTAATTAAATATTATTAATGGTCCGTTGATGAGATTCATTTCAATGAATGAAACAGGGACATTTATTTTGCAGAGAAAAGATAAGAATCAAACGTATTTCAAGAACAGTTTATTATCATGCTATAAAAATCTATATATATCATTTTAATTTTGGAAATACATAATGTTATCAATGACTTCCCTGTTAGACTTTGTAAGGATATCCCTAAAATTTTATTCAAATAATTTAGTGTTATGTTACCAAAGACTATTTTTTAAAAATGTCATCTTAATCATTGAAATGTTTGATATGAATAAAAAATCCTCATAATAATTTTAAACTTTACAACTTGTTTTTGTAGATGCATTATAGCTAATTTATACCCACAAAATGCCATTTTGATGATTTTATAGAAACAATACAGCTTGTAAAGCAGAAAGATGACCCTTGTAAACATTTTATATTGACTGCAATGGAAGAAACGGAAGATATGTTGCAAGGTATAAATTTTATAAGCAATCGTAGTGTACTCAGCTTATAAAGCTAGACATATGTATAGTAGTATGTCTGTACTTTGAAAAATAAACGTTTTATTTTTGTACATGCATGCTTCCAAAATACCTTCATGAAATGATATATTTGTATATTTCCTTATCAGCTTCTTCAAATGGCATCATAATATTTTATTTCGGGACATTTTGTTTACTTTACGTACTGTATGCATGAGATAAATTAACAGAAACGTCCTATGTAACGACTCTTTCAGGAGTTAACTATTTGATTGTGAAAACAACACAATCTTACCTCCTATATATTCAAGAGTTTTTTTTCGTAATAATTTTTATTTTTTACAGCATATTAAATGATATGTGCAATATAAATGCTGTCATAAAGTTTGAACAGCAAGAAAGACTTCTTGTTAAGGGAGCTCTAAATTGTCACTGTAGTCGACTTGATCTTATTGAAATTCCTTTACACTTGCGGTGTGAAATTTTTTTTAAAAGTTTTTCTTCTGTTCTAACAAAAAAGTTCTAGTTTGTTGATAACGTGTAAACTATTAGTTTTTATAAAGAATATTTAACTAGTTACATGGCCCCATATATACGAAGCTTTGAAAAAATAACCCGAACTGCAAGGCCAGGGTTATATTGCAAACAACCATTAGAATATGGCCATATATTATGTCAGGAATATATATAACGAATTTATAAAGGAAGTTGGATTTCTTCACAAATTCACAGCAACAGTATTATAAAAATAAAAAAACTTTTATAAACGTCGCGATTCACCAATGAAAACGGACGTTACAAACGGTGTAGTATTTATATATGTGACACACAAAGAGCATAAAAATATGATCAAACATGTTTTTAATTTCAGACAATTCATTGATGCACCTGGATATATGATCT